CTCACTATCTTTCTGCTTCGGCTCCCATATGCTGGGATTATAAGCATCTGACACTGCAGCTGGCTAAGCCTTGTTGAGCAGAATAGAAATATGCTTTGAGGGGAAGAGGAGCCTTGTAAGAATCCAGGTGCTAGACCAGCGTCCATTCCCCTATGCCTTCTCAATTGCGCATACCCTTTACTATTTACATGAGATGCTTAAAATGTCATTGATATCTTTATTTTTCGTCTCCCAGGCTTTTTAAAATAAATAGACCAAGCGTTTTAGAGCTGATTTGGATTTTCAGGGAGACTGATCAGAAAGTAGAGCTGCCCCTGAATCCCCACAACACCAGCAGGGGCACTGGTGACAGGCACTTGTAATGACAAAGGAGGGGACAGAGACACACTATTACTGACCAGAACCCGTGTTTACAATGAGCTCCTCAGAAGATCCAACAAGGAGTTGGGTATTCTGTGCGTCCAGACAAATGTCTAATGATAGTGTCTGCCATCAACAAGTCATCCACAGTAGCCTCCCTGCCTTACCCCCACCTGACCCAACCGGATCCAGGGGTTCAGGGGTTGGGGAGCACAAAGGGCTCATACTGAGCCGGAAAAGTCAGAAGCCAGGCACTCAAATCTTTCCACTGCCCTTTCCTTCTTCCCTTTTGGAGGATGTTATGTCAGAGTTGGGCCACAGAGAGCTGCCCTCCCCAATGGGCTTCTTTTCTCCACAAGGTGTACTTGAGAAGCCTCGGGGTTTTTTCATCTTCGTACGAATGAATAACGTCCATCTGATGTGTCCCAGGCAGTGATATCTATTCAGTGACTGATCCACTGCGTCTGACTTTGAGCAATTACAAATACGATTGCTGTAAGCAGGTGCTGGCAGGCTTCCTTCTGGACAGTTTTTGTTCATTTGCTTTTGGTGGTGTTGGTGGTGGAGGTGGTGGTGGTTGTTGGTGGAGGTGGTGGTGGAGGTGTATTGGTGGTGGTGGGGTGGTGGTGGAGATGGTGGTAGTGGTGAAGGTGGTGGTGGTGAAGGTGGTGGAGGTGGTGGAGGTGGTGGTGGTGGTGGTGGTGGTGGTGGTGGTAGTGGTGGAGGTGGTGGTGGTGGTAGGTCTATTTTGTTCTGAACTTTGGATCCTCCTGCCACCACCTTCTGAGTGCTGAGGTTTCAGGCATGCACCACCATAACCAGCTAATGAGGTTCTGGAGATCAAACTGGGTCTTTGTGCCTACTAGGCAAGTGCTCTTACCACCCAAACTCCATCTCCAGCCTAGAAGACTGTTTACTTGTGTTTAAAGCTGCATTTAGAGTGTGTGTGTGTGCGTGTGCGCGAAAGTGTGGGTCTTTTCAGGCACTCGGGTACTTCGCCTTTCTCTTCCTTGAGAGACATCTGTTCAGGCATCTGACCTACGTTAATTGGGTTGTTTGTTTTCTTATTGTTTAATCTTATGGACTCTTTGCTTATTTTGGGCGACAGCCCTTTTCCAGATCTGCGTTTACACGTACGCTATCGAGATTGTGACATGTCTTATTCTTTCAACAATGTCATTGCACAGTGGAAGTTTCACACTTCTAAGTTCTAACTCTTCAGACTTTTCTTCCATAGAGGATATATTTGGTTGTACATAAGATCTCATTGTTTGGACCAGAGTAAGGTTTTTAAGGAGAATTTATTTTAAAACAGATAACAACACCTATAATTATCTATGATCCACTAGATACTATTTTGTCTTATTATATTTTATTGGACAGTCAGCCCTGGCTAGACTAAAACTCACTATCTAGCCAATGCTGGCCTTGAACTCACAGAGATCTGCCTATCTCTGCTTCTTGAGAAAGAGCAGGGATTAAAACTATGTGCCAACATGCCTGGCCTAGATATTCTTTTATTTTAAAATACCAGTATTTTTGTCAACTTTTCTTGGCAGATATCTAAACTCCTGTTAAAGATTTTTCGATATCACAGGGACGTGTTTAAGGGAGTCTAAAGCTATTCGGAATTATTATTGAAGGTCAACAGCAGGTGACAGCTGGGACTCGGGCTGGGCTGGCCGAATGGAACACTCAGCTCTGCCAAACACTAGCTTGTGACATTCAGGTCCCCAGCATCCTCCTCAGGCAGGCAGACTGGCAGAAAGATCATCTCCCAGGGCTACAGAGAGCAAGGTAGGAAGGGGTAGTGCCTGGCACTTGGCACGGGCTCCGTTGTAGGCTTTATAGGGTACCAGAAAAGAGTTTAATCCTAATAGATGAACTGTGGGTCAAGAATCCCTGGGCAAATATTTTCATGTCAATTTTGTTTATATCAAAATCCTGAGCTGGGAGCTATGAGGAAAAGAGATGCTACCTTTTTTTGGGGGGGAGGGGTCAGGATGGCAGAATGAACCCAAGTGCTGCTGGAAATGGTGGGCCCTGAGATTGTTTTCTTTAGAGGAAAGGATATCCATTCCAAAGAGAGCCCCCCAGTTATGAGTCAAGGCATATGAGCCTGGTGATGGCTCTGCCCCGGGGGGAAAACAGAGAGACAGGGTTTCTCTGTAGTTCTGGAGGCCATGACCAGGCGCAGTCAAGAGGGGGGCCAAGAAGCCCCTCTCAGATCCTCCATGGGAGGCGGGGACCAGATAAAGGTGTAGAGCTGGCTTTACTGGGGAGCGCCACGATGCCATAGGCAAGGGACAGTGGCTTCTTTGAACTGAATTGAGCCTTGTCTCTATAGACAATAAACACAACAAAAGCATCAGGCAGCACCTGGTTTCCTGACCCCACTGTCTCTAGTGTCCATTAGACCCTTGATGCTAGGCGATTATTTGTTGTTCCGAGTGGGTGTGCATACATACCTTTGTGTGGTTGAGAGCTTCCTGAAGGTAGCATGACTAAGAACTGTGACCTGGCCATTCCCACAAGGAACCAGGCCTTAGTGAAGGAGCAGGGAGGCCAGGAGGGCAAGAGACTGGGCTTCTCTGCCTAACAAATGGGTCCTGGAAATACCTTTCCAGCTTGTGGAAAATGTAGGGACTGCAGCTGTCAGGACCTCAGTGACAGTGCTGCTGTGGGACCCGCCCACTGCACACAAAGGAGCCCTCAGTGCTCCACCATCCACTTCCCTATCCAGCAGTCATGGCTTTCTCGGGAGAGCTTCCTGAGTGGGGAGGCTCACGATTACATTGGAATCTGTATCTCCAATAGGGGTTGTGAGCTTTTTTTTTTTTTTTTTTTCCTTTTGGTTCTTGGAGACAGGGTTTCTCTGTGTAGCTTTGGCATCTGTCCTGGAACTCGCTCTATAGACCAGGCTGGTTTTAAACTCACAGAGATGTGCCTGCCTCTGCCTCCTGAGTGCTGGGATTAAAGACATGTGTCACTTTCTTAAGTCCAATGGCTGCTTGCCACAAAACAGACACACCACCAGCACCAGGTGGGAAAGCCTGCAGCCCAACCTGAGGGTCCAGCTCCTGCATCAGACCCAGAGACTGGCTTAAGACTTCTGTTGTCAATCCGCTCCACCCAGGCAACGCTGCATGGTAGCATCTCAGAAGGGAACAGTGCTTTGCTTTCTTAGTGCATATACAAAAGTCCCTTCATGCTAGAAGTTCACACAGCTGGTGTCCATATGCCTAGTGTATGAAGTCTGTGGTCTCAAGCCATATATCCAACCCTGAAATAGACTCAGGACCCTCTGCTCTGCTCCAGAATGGATACAGCCCGTGTGGTCAGGTACAGCCATGAAGAGAGATCTGAAATGTGGACATTGTCGGTGCCAGACTAGGGTTGGATACCATTTTCCACGGAGGGAGAACTAGGGGACCAAGGTGGCCAGGATGGGGGAGGACCGCTGTTTTGTGGATTCCTAAGAGGCAAGCAGCAAACGTGGAGTGGGAGGGTTTTTTTTTTTTGGCATATTGCTAGATTTTTATTCTTCACATGCAAATTTATGCTTAATGAGATTAAAATCAAGGCCCTGCTGATCTGAAGTTCTGGCCCCTTCTGCTTCCGCAGACCGTGACCCTGGGTCTCCCCTAGTCTCAAAGAAGCCAAGTGTATGAGGAACAGTGGGAAGAGAAGGGAAGAAAGTGCAGCGAGTTTGCTCAAATGTACTAACCAGAGGAACGCCTGGGACTTGTCACAGGGCGCTTCCAGGCAAAGTGGGCAAAGTGGGTGGGGAGAAGGCTCAGAGGAAGAGGAGAAAGTAGGACACGGACAGGCAGAAATAGCGGCTGGGGGCTTTTCCTCAGGTTGACATTAAAATGAATGATATGCAAACGAATGCAAAGCATATGCGAACGATGGGCCCGAGGGCGGTGGGGAGAACCAGATCCTGAGCCCCTCTTGCAGCAGGTCGCCTGGCGCCTAGGGGACCAAGGCCGTGCGCGGCGGGAGTAGCGCGCCCCCTGCCGGCCGAACGCGCTGGTGGCCCGAGTCCCGGGAGGGCTTGTGGGGGGCGCGGCGGCCGAAGGAGGGGCGCCCGCCTCCCGACCGAGAGTAGACACCGCGGCTCCAAGAGCAGCGAGGCCGTCGGGCTGCGACTGCTCCGAGGTGGGTGTGCGCGGTGCGCTCAGCTCGCCCGCCCTCCCGGGGCGCGGCCTGCGCGGGGCGGGGGCGCACAGCGAGGAGTCCACCCCGCACTAGGTTGCCCCGCGCCGCACGCACTCCGCACACTGGCTGAGCGCTGGGGCTCCTCGGCCCGTTCTCACTCCACAGCCCCGCGCTCCTGCACCCACACGGGGTTCCACGCGTGGCCTGGCGCTCTTGAGGTCCCCGAGTCCTGAGTCGGGTCCCATAGCCAAATCCGCCGGGCTCGTCCTGGGGCCCGGCGGCCACCCAGGCGGTGGAGGCGGGAGCCACTCTGGGCGTTGGGCGGCGCCGGGCGCACGGAACCGGGCCTCTCTCCCGCGGCCGGCGCCCCGGGGCGGAGCGAGCGCGATGGGCGCCGGGCTGGAGGCAGGTGGCGCAGCGGCGGCCGGGCGCGGGAGGCGGGGGCGGAGCGCGCGGGGCGGGGGCCGTGGGGCTCCGTGAGACGCGCGGGCGAGCGCGCGGCAGCAGAGCCGGAGGCACGGCGGCTGGACCCGGCGGCCGCCGAGGCCGAAACCGCCCGGGCGGCGTGCGCGCTTTGTTCCCGCGCTGGGGGCCGAGCGCACTCGGCATGGCCCAGGCGGCCGCCCCGCCCGCCCCGACCCCGCCGCGCGCCTGAGCCCCGCGCGGCGCGAGAAGACAGCGTGCGGATCGCCCCCAAGTTATGGAGGTGGCGACCGAGTGAGAAGGAAAAGCCACTTCGAGAACCGGGTTGCTAGAGAGCGACAGTCCGCTGGAGCCCAGACCGTAAGTGCCGCCTCTGCCCCGCTCAACGCCGACGCTGTCACCCTACTCTGCCGATGACTGCCCTCCCGGGGGTCCGCACTGCGCCCTCCGCCCCTTCCCGGGCACTTTACAAAGTTCGTGCCCACGGCAGGGTGGAGCCAACTCTGCCCACTCATTTAACCGAGTGCATCCACCCTAGGTGAGCAGACAGCTTGACCTGTCCAGGGTGTGTGTGGTTAACATTTAGGTGGGAGATGAGTCGGTGGAGGAGTACGGATTCACCACCACCCGCAGGCGCCCCCTGGGGTTCTGGGTTTCCTGACAAAGACTGGTAGCCTGAATGCCAGTGCTCGGTACTGACTGGAGAAGCAGAGGGCAACCACCGGGGAGATGGGGCTGGCAGGAGAGGGTCTGCTGCTTCCTCTAGCCCTTCCCTCCCCCCCTTCTTATTTTGGTCCCAGGATCAGCCATTAAGGCCTTGGGGCTGAGCATCCTTCCTGGTGGTGGGGAGGGGGCTCATGACCGCCCTCCCTGGGGTCCTGACAGCCAGGTGCAGGCACAGCCTCCGGCTCTGATCCTTCTCACAGCCTTTGGGAACGGTCCATCTGTGTGTAGGGCAGGCCCAGAGCCAGGCTGTGGGAACAGCGGGGAGGAGGTGTGAGCACCGTGGAGGGACAGATGGCTGGAGATTCAGCCGGAGTCGGGCTGACTAAGGTGGAGCAGAAGGCAGCCAGGCTGGCAGCTTCTGGCTTGGAGCCGCCGACTCTGAATGCATAGCCCCGAACTTAGTGTGTTTGGGCTTCTTGACCAAAGTGCTGAATGGACTTAGAGTGCGGGGACCCCTAGCCCATGAATAGAACTATCTGATCATGTGAGCTGAAGCCCAGTTCCTCTAAATAACAGAAAATCTCCCGCTCCTGTTTGTGGGGTTGATCCCAGTAACTGTCACACCCGTCCCTCTTACCCTGAGGCCAGGATGTGGCTTCATTATGTCTGGCTGGGTGTGTGCTTCCTCCCAGCGATCAGAAACAGGAGGTTCCCAGGCAGCCACTCAGAGGATGGGGCTGGCGGAAGACAAAGGGAGCGGTCACTGTGCCCTGGCATTGCCCTTGCAAGTTGCTGGAAGGTTTCAGAAACTTCTCAGGGCTGGGATTCTCTCATCATCTCCCCCAAATCCCAGGGGCTGGTCCCAGAGAGTTCAGCCATACCTGGCCAGAATGCACTTGGCTCCCAGCCTGGGAAGAGGTAGGAAAGCCTTGTGGATAATTCCTGGCCTTGTGCATGGAAGGCTGTGGATAGGGACACATTGGGGTCACACTTTCACCCACCCCATCCACCGAAGGGCAGAAACTAGAAAATGTGGTTGTCCCCAGTTGGCACTGGGAGCCCATCAAGCTGGTGAAATGATGCTATCTGCGACTGTGTTTTGCAGGGCCACAGCCACTCTTGTGCACAGAGAGGGAAAAGCAGAGAGAGAAGGAACAGATGTGATGCTTGGTGCTGCCCGGGAGCTAGACAGACGCAGGGAGGGAGAATATCACGTTAGGACTGATTTTCTGGCGGAATCCACCCTCATGGGAGGTGCTGTGATCTTGATGATTGGGGAGAGAAGGGAGGGCCATGTGTACCTGGCACACCACCATGTTGTTGCTTGTGCCAGCTCAGACTGGCATATGGAAGACACCCCTGGACAGCTCCCTGCAGGATGCTCTGGGCTTGCTGTGGGCCACCCACCAGCCCTCCAGGTCCCTGTCAAGCTCTTCCTCTGTCACTGGGTTATCCATGTAATTGAGTTACCACCTCCAGGAAATCTCTCTGATTGGTCTCCACGTATTTTCATTTCTGCATGACTGGAAGACACTCATTTTCCTTCCTACATGAGGATCTGTAAATGCAAACGCCGACAGGCTGGGTCACTGGGCCACAAGATCTGAGCCAGTGGGATTGCCCACCATGGAAGGCCAGGCTTAGCTGCAGCCTCCTCTGAGGCAGGCAGGAGGGGATGTCAAGAGAGGCATTCCCACCACCTTCTGGAATGGTCTTCCCTCCCCTGCTGCGCCGCAAGCAGGATGAGTTTGGGGCTTTCTGATTCATTCTCTGCCTCCCACATGCCAGGGCAGTGGGACGATGGTAAATTTAATGGATCTGGATTTCCTCCACCACCAAGAGGGAAGAGAACCCACCTCGCTCATTCATGTCTGCACAGATGTGCGTGCACACACAAGTGTGCACAGGATCCAGCACAGGACAAGCAGCACACAGACAGAGGGCTGCCTCCATGGAGCTTCCTTGCCTGGCCATTGTTCCCTCTGGGTCTGCGTGCTGCATGCCAAGGGTCACAGCATCTTCTTTAGCAGTGACTATGAGCATCAGAACTTAGCTCATTGTCTGGTCTAGATGGGTGCGCAATGAACAAGCCTAGGTGGGATGAGTTTGATGACTGTCTGGTCCCTCCAAGCTTTGTAGTCTCCCCTGCCTGTGTCCTGGGATCCTTATGCCAGGTCTTCTCTTAAGCATCCTTGGAGCTCTGAGTGTATCCCAAGGGCTGCAAGCCACCAGGGTTGATGGTATGGATGGGGAGCCCTCTGCTGGGCTTCCTCGGGCAAGTGGGGTAGAGCTGTCTCAGTCCCTGCTGAGCCCCGTTGCCAACATTATTGGCCTTCACGATGCCAGGCCACCCAATCCCTGGTTCAGACGTCACAGAATTGGGGGGTGGGGGTGTCGCTCAAAACCCTCTGGAAACCACTGGAACAGTGTTTGGCTCTTACAGTGGACACAAACCCACTGTAGCATCCGCTGAGCAGTGTTACCCCCTGGGTGCCCTGAGGGTGGTCACCAGTGGGATTTGCTGAGGCTCCTCTACCTGTGCAGAGCTGGCCCTGGGGAATGTTTGCCATTGTGCACTAAATGTCTGCTCCATGCCACGTAGAGGTAGATGTCAGAAATAACCCAGGGGGCAGTCTACCTCACCTTTAGGACCTCAGGCTCACCAGATCCAGCGCTGGCCTGCCTCATCTCGCTGGGTCCTTGCAGCAACCCAGAGTGGCAGCCAATATCACTGCCCCCACTTTACAAACTCAGAGAGGTTTGGACCCCAGGGACCGATGGACACTTGGGATTCTCCTGAGTTCTAACCCTGCGAATGAGTTGGCTAACAGTCATGCAGGTTTTATGGATATCTAGGTTGACCAGATGTACCCCTCAGAGGGGAGGGACACTATGTGGAATAGGCCACAGGTCTGAGGCTCCTTTTTACAAGGATTTCCAACCTCTAGACCAGATGAGGGGTGTGGGGCTCGGCCGCTAGCCCAATACGGTTACCTGCTCTTTTGGCCATGTGGCTCTTGGTCTCCCCAGAGAGTGAGTGACTATCCTCCTTTTCTGGTGGGCATGGTGCCCAACGTTCCTAGGCACGGTGAGCAAACTCAGTTCTGTTTCTGAGGTCCCCAGACTGGAGCAGGATGTGCGAGCCGGGTTGCCAGGGCTTCCCTGGTGTGGAAAACGGTGCTTGGTAGAAGTGGCCCTCAGCGGGAAAGGCTGGGCAGGGCCTGGCATCCGGGTGTGCACCTGAGATAGTGGGAATGATAAACACTCCGGTTCCTCATTTCCACCTCCAGGCTCAGCCTGACCAGGTGGAGAGTGGCTTGGCAGAGCCACCCCTTCCCCTGAGCGACAGTGCACTTCCTGAGGCAATAAAACACAAGTTCAAGCTCCTGCTTTTTGTAATTCGTGAGACCTCAGGGCAAGCCAGATGTCACTGGGAAGGAAAACAAAGATGAATTTGGCCATAATAAGGAAGGTTTCTCCAGGCCAAGACTCCTAGAGCACAGCCTGCAGCTCCTGAGCTCCCTGGCCCTCTCCACCTCCCTTTCAGCCATTTATCCCTGTGCTCCCAGCCTCCCGGGCAGATCCAGAGGCTCCCATAGGGGCAGCAGAATAGTCTCCTGTTTACCCAAGGGACAGGAGAGAGGCGACAGAGGGGATGGGAACATGGGAACACTCCTAAGTGTTCCCCTAAGGACCTTAAGGACACCCCTAAGGACAGGAGAAGAGGGCCCTTCGTATACCTCGGACCTCCAAGGCTGACTAGTGGGAATCAGAAGGAAATGTGCCCCACCCCACCCCACCCTGGAGCATCAAGGAGACAGCCCAGAGAAAACCCACTTTGACTGTGGTTGTTCCCATATTACAGAGAAGGTGCATGTTAAGAGATTTGGGGCCCCTACCCATTTGTGGAGTCTCTCTTCTGTCCTCAGAAAGGAAAGGGACACCACTCTGGCTTTCAAAGCCTCATCCACAGCTGTGTGGCCTGCTGCAAATTACTTGCCCTCTCTGTGCCTCTGATTTCCAATATGTCTGTTGACGGGTCCAGACTGTCCTATCCACTCCTCAGAATACCTAGTGCCATCTCTGGGTCTAAAGTAGATCAGGTAGCCGGACTCAGGTCTCCCTCTTTTCTTCCTGGCCCTGTGCTGAATGCTTGCGCTCTTGTTCTAGCGAGCAAGATGGCCTCCTACACAGCGCCTCCGCTCTCGTGGAGACAGCAGTGAGCATGGAGCCAAGCCTGGCTGTGTGTGCCATGCCCTTTGAATATCCACTTTATGGAAGGACACCAGAGCTGGTAGAGCACACCTTGAAGCTGCTCAAGGAGACGTTACCAGGTGTGCACATAGGGCTCTCACTGTGGCTCTAGGGATGTGGCACGTACCGCAGGGTGTACTGTACTCAGGGACCCAGAGCGCCCTCACAGAGGTGACCCATTTAGCTGAAGCCTCTGCCGGGCAGGACTCTGGGCTCCAACCCCAAGGCTTTCCTCTGGGCCGAGGAAGATCACTGTGCAGAGCCTAGAGAGGCCCTGCAGCATCCACACAGAGGTCACAGCAGTGCTGAGGGATGTGTGCCGCATGGGACCGCCAAAAGGGCCTGAGCAGATACTTTGTGTGCCTGAGGACCTGATCCATCTGTGGAAGACACCCCCAACTCTTACTCTGCCCCCCATAACCTCCACAAAGCCCATCAAC